CTTCCCCTCTGCCACTTCTGAAGTATACCATTGTTTTGATTGCTGCATCTCCGTTGATGTCGCAGATTCAATTTGTCTTTTTCCCGACTTGTATATTCGAGACTATTACCAAATCGATGCCCCTTTCGAGCATTTCTTTTTCTAGGAGGTTATGAGCTGTCCGGCACTTATTGAGGTTAGTTTGTAAGTATAATATTTAGTGGCCGTGGGTGCTTTATTTATTGTTTAAAAGTGCTGCTGTTTTTAACGGTTTTTTATTTAACGAAAGTGTTTATACTGGTTGGAACATAAGATGCAAATTGAAAAAGATTTACAAATTTGTTATTCTTATAAGTGGGTTCATCCCTTTTGCAAATATCGACCGTTAACACCGACAAACTAGTTTTTCTAGACGGTGTAATACTTGAAGGCAGATGCCGACAATCGCTTAACATACGTACAAATAATATACACATATAATATAGGTAAAACGGTAGGAATTCTAGGTTTACTGCCCCCCTTTTAACATAATGTTAAAATTTTCATTACATTTTTTTTTTAAATCAAAATAAAGATTAATAGCATGTTAACAAAAACAAATACTTTGGCAGTAAAATAAAATAAACTTGTGTTTTTGAAATAGCAAAAAAACTTAGAATTACACTTCTTTACACACTCAAACGGAAATAACTTAATCACACATCACTTTACGAATCTGCATTCTCACCGCCAACTTCTTGACGGATCTCTTATATATTCTATGGCGCGTTCGGATAACTGCCACTCTAACTAAGCCATCTGGACCCGGGAAAAATTCCACTTGTCCCATCTTCCAAATCATCGACGGCATTTCGTAGGCAAGAAGTACAAGGGTGCCTATCTGGAGAGTTTCGAGCAATGCAATTGGAACAGTACATCTCGCTTCCATTGGACTCAAAACCGTTGCTTTTCTATATTCTGCCATTGACTCAGTCGATTTTCGGACAAAACACGTAGATCATACTCAGGTAAATCTATCAACGATTCTCCGATCAGGAAAGGTGGCGGTATGAAGACTTGCAAGTCAGATGGATCATTTGCGGTGGGTGTCAGTGGACGGGAATTGACAATTGCTTCATTTTGGATAAGGTGTGAGAGTGTTCGAACGTTATTAACAATATATTTTTAGTAATTTTCTTTAAATGTTGTTTAACAGACCGAACACATCGTTCCCGCAAGCCTCCAAAGTTCGGAGATCGGGGTGGTATGAAGTCCACGATCTCCGGGAATGAGGAGATATCCATAGATCTCACTTCCTTCGCATTTTCTAGTTTTGTCTACGAGCCACACTTCTTCTTTGCCTTGTTGTAACTACTTCACCACTTCCCCTCCAGCAGTTCCTTTATTTTATCTGTTTAGCCCTTACTTTATCTTTTGAAACATCTGCAGCTCGTGGGTCTCGTCTTTGACCTCTCTTTCGACATTCGTAGACTTATTTAATATTGTAATGTTCGTGGCTTTAACAAATTAACTTTTAAGACTCACAACGACAAAAACTATTTATTTACACTAATTATTACTATAGGACTTAAAAACACTATTAAATTATTACTAACTTAGGTAATTATTCTATTTATTTGCACTACTGTTACTCTTCACTGTTCTATTTATTTCACTCCTATCACTGTCTATTTATTTCTTGATTCACTTCTGCAACGGTCAATATATTTCTACTCCACTTCGGCGATCGTCTCTTCCTTTTTATACTCCCTTGCCTTCTTTCGGGAACATTCTCCTGCTGTCCAGAGAAGTCTCGTTTTCTTTGAACGGTTTAATTGCTTTCCCGGAACGCAGGTACGACACACACGTTTACAGATACGGCGCACATGAAGGAAAGCGCCCGCGGCTAGTCGGCGAATCGATAAGCCGCTCACACACACGTATGCCCGATCGCACACAATCACGCTCGTGGTCGCTACAATATACCGGTTAGTTTATTTGCCTTCTTGACCATTGAGCTGACGCAAGATGATAATTCTCCCAGTCCCGTGTGCTCCTTACTTTTGGGACTTAGTTCTGGGAGAATCCAGGTAATTCTTGTAATCTTTTCTGACCTCCCGTTCCGCTCCTGCCTGGCCCTTCCAAAAGTTCCGCCTGCACTGTGCTGCTTCGGTCTGTAGTTCTACCGTGTTAGCTTCTTTTCAGAGCTATACACCAAATTAATCAGTCATTTGGGGTTGCACCATCCTGACCATATTCCCATCGCCCTCCGACATTATTTTCTTTGGTGGCTTTCTTTTAGTTTTGGTGTTTTTGCGGAAGTACAGTTGGTCTAAAAAATCCCTTGCAGGGCTAGTCAGGATCCACCCACTTATTGCGTCCGCGCTACCATGAGCACCTTCTCCAGCACAACAGTAATCTAACCTAGGTCTACCTCTACTCCTCTTAACTCCTGTTTCTGCTTCTTCCTTCATGTCTAAGGTGTCCAACCAATCTTTCCTCGCATATTTTTTATTGACTTCCATAGAGTCCTCAGTTTTTCTGTTCTTTCTAATACCTCTTCATTTCAAACCTTCCTACTCCACAGTGCCCTCATCGTTCACCTGTAACACCACATCGCGAACGCTTCCAACCTACTCTTTATCGGCGCGCCCTTCACCCATATTTCGCACCCGTACAGCACCAAACATACACCTTTAACAATACAGTGGACCCCCGATAATCCGGCTCCTGGCTAATCCGGCACCCCCTGTAATCCGACATGGTCTATTATTTATTATGTATTGAATATTTTTTTGACAATCTTCGCTAATGCAAGATTGAACAAGTTATAACTTGTACGCACCACCACTATTGTGCTCGACGCGTAGAGTATTGTTTTGATTTTGATTGCTTACTTTGAATTTGACTACATGTGAAGATAGCGGTACGGTCTAGCGTGTGTTCATTGTTTAGTGTTTATTCATTGTGTATTAGTTATTCGTACCTAGTAATGTCGTCACAAGCTCAGAAGCGAAAGCACAAAACACTGACAATTAAAGAAAAATGTAAAAAATTCCGGACTATAGGGAGTCTTAGGCAGTACTCTATAATCCTATAAATTCGCTAATCCGACACTGCCCTGCAAACTGTTTGTCGGATTACTGGGGATCCACTGTTCATTGAAAAGATTTGTTTCAATGAGAGGCATAAGCAATGTCTATTCTGACAATGGCTCAAATTTATCGGGGGAAAAATGAATTAAATTCAGTTGCTAAATGGCTTTCTTCTCGGGAAACTCAAAAAGTTAATCACGCATGACTGTTATTTATTTTTCTTATAAGATAACGAAAATATTTTATTTGGTCTGTAAGTAAATATTTAGTAAAAGATGATTTTGAATACCATGAAAAACTAACTGTCAAGCTGAGTTCATTATTTCAATATTTCTCCACTTTTTTTATTTTATGTTAAAATTTCAATATCTGTCTGAAAATACATAATTTCATTTATACTTTAATCCAACTCTGACGTCCTTCAGCCAATGATCTAAAGTTCAATAGTTCTTTATGCGGTTGCTATAAAAGGTTTTAAAAATATAAACGGGCTTTAAAAGTATAGATCTTTGAGGTTTCTATAATACCTACCACTAACATGCGCAAAAGCATACCGTGGTAAATACGGATAGCTGAATCCAATTTTTTTTGCTTACTTTTATACTAATGTAAGCCATTTAATAGGGTTTGTAAAACGCATCCAAAATTCAAGGGGTGCTTAAAAATTCCACACACATAATGAGAACAAGGTAATTAATTAAATAAATAGGTTGTCCAATTTATCGATTATGTCGAGAAAAATTTGTAGTTCTTGGAAGAAATTATAATCAGTCTTCTTTTTTAAAGTATTTTATTAACACAATTATATACTAAACAACTTCCGTGAAGCGCGTGCTGAAATATAGTTTTCCTAATGAAATATTGTAAATTAGCTAAACAACATTTATTAAACAGTAAAACTTAATCTACAAAACAGTTAAATTATCAACATACGTACATACATTCTGCATGATGAGGCACAGTATAACAATAATCACAATGCAAGTACCTATGTAGTTTTTGTATAAAATAAAACTTGTTAGCTATACAATTATATTTCTTAGTTACATTAATAAAAGTTAAACTAAGATAGTACAATTTCGTTGCAAATATGATAAGAGCAGTTACGAATAAACAATATTCTAGTGCATATTAGTAATAATTGTAGTACGTGTAACAAGTTCCTTATAAGTTACTTAATAAAGCATAACTAATATACCAAACGTACTTCTATATGCTGGTGCGATTTTGGTACTTGTTAAGCGCATTCATTTATTTTAGTAACACTGTAGTATATTATTCTGAAAGTTATCATTAGTACCAATATTACTTGATTTTCGATACATGAAAAAAAAAATTGCAGCATTTGAGCATTTTTATAGATATTTATTATTCGTAATAAAAAAAGTAATTAACCAAAAGATATGTGTGGATAATATGGCAGTGGCCCATTTATTATACTTCAGATCGGACTATTTATACATTACAAATATTAAAAACATACATATTTCACAAGCAAGTAATATTTTTATATTACACTTGTTTTGTTTACCTTTAAAGCCNCTCCAAAGAGTATGTACAAATAAATAGTTTCATTTATAAAATATTACCAATTAAATCAGTAGGTATTACACTTTATATAAAGCAATGTTTTAAATGCGTTTGTAGATATTGATTATTTCGCTTTTCATATTTTGAACAATTAACTACAATGTTTAAAGAACATAACATATTTATAACTCTATAGAAAACTACTATTTAAAATGGGTTTCATTTTAATTTTCATAATTGAAGTATATTTACTGAGAAATACGAAATTTTGAAAGCGCACACATCATAATCAGATACTTAACATATACGTAGGTAACAAGACATATAATACAAAAATTAAACTGCGACAATTTTTAAAATTACGTTCAGTCTTGAAGTTTTCAGAAATAATGTTTATTATAAAAACAAAAATATGCATTGTAGTTTTACAATTCTGTATCATTTTAACCATGTATATTAATCCAAACAATGTATGTACAAAGTTTAAATCTTTTATAATAGCATTCATATATGTAATAATTAGCCGATGTTCAGGATTGTCCAATACTCACTTGCGCATTTACAATAAGTTTTGATTAAAATTGTTGTAATAATCAGTATAATGCCACATGCCTTTTGAATAATAATAACAGTAATAATATGCATAGCGTTAATTTACTTTACCATTTCGTGTAGTATATTACTTTTGAAAAGCATAAAAGCAACAATTAGGTTGTCTTTAGCAGACTACGGCAGATATAGGATTTTCTGTGATGTTAATAATTGATGCCGGCCATTGTACACCCTGTATTTTTGGTTCCAGTTTTGTTTTGACTATCTCTTCTTCTGAAGCTTTTCGAAACATTGCCATTTTTATAGGAGACAAAGGAGCAACTGTAAAAATCCCATAAACTACAATTTTGTTAGCAATGCAGGAAAAATAAAAATACAATTAATTATTATTAGTACTAATACCTTCATATTCAAGCAAAGTTTTCGTATAGAGCATTTTTCAACAGTGCAAGCTTCACAAAACAATCTAATAAATGTACTTCAAGTGTTTAGTTATAAAAAGATGAGTGAATGTAACTTATCAATTAACAAAAATCAACAACATTCTTATTGATTAATCAGTTTCATACGTTCTTTTCTTTTTCAGTAAGAAAATACTTCTTTCTGATTTAAATATACCATCATTTAAAACAGTGACTGTTTTTGATTTTTAATGATTAAAGATAAAAACAATGTGCCTATTCTAAAATGTTTGTATAAGATAACCAATTTTTATTATAATTATATTTGGAGTTAAGATTTTCCAAACTATTTGCTTAATTAATTTCAGCAGAAAATAATATAATTATGTTTCAAGTAATTTCGTAATTAATGTATTATTACAATTTAGAACATGGTAGAATTTAGACATGTTTCAATAAGAATTAGTTACGTACCTAAGTTTGAATATTTGGTTATTTTGTCTCAAATATTTTTTGTTTTAAATTTTTTAACAATTTTATATAGACATTAATAATTTTATATCGACTAAGTACATGTGTTCATGTAATGCAAACATTAAAACTGATGTGGGTATAATTTTTTTTATCTAAAACGACAATGTTCCGTTGCAGTAGCAAATTTTAAGCACTCAGTTCTCTTGTGAATAAAAGATAAAATAAAAAATTTATTGATTTGTTTATTGCTCCCTGGTGCATAACGATGAAGTAATTTTAACTCAGTAAAAAAAAACCTAGAACATAAACTACTTTTCACATACTTTCTTTCAACTTCTTATCAGACAATTTTATTATACAGCATATAACATTACAATTTAATTTTCAATTACTTACGCAAAATGATTTGTGTAATTTTAACATGTTTTGTATCATGATGTATGAGTTTTATTTAACTTACTGTAACTCAAGAGTAGAGCAGAGCATATGCCCTTCGGGAAAGTTAGGTCAATATATAGAATTAGATTACTAAGATAAACTATTCCGTGAGTAATCATGCCTATGCTAGCGCTAGTTTTTCAAATAAAGTACCTAATTAATCGAATTTAAAAAAATTCTTTTACTTTTAAAACAACAAATTTTTATATATTTTTTTGTATACACTGGATAAATAAACAATATAATTTTTAGTGAAATAGTAAAAATTAAAAATTTTCAAAAATAATAAGTCAACAATTAAGTTGTAACTTGTATCATACTTGTATCTACCCTTTTCCATTAATAAATACAAATTTTACAATTATATTTAAAATTGCATTAATCATATTGTGTATAAGAAAGTGAAAATTAAATAGTAATTCATACATGCTATATAATGAAATTGTCTAATAAGGTTGATTGTAAATTTCCACGAAGTCAGTTTCCTTGAAGAAGCCCTAAACGGACGGACTAAACGTCGGTTGATAGAAAATAAAGACTGATTTCTACATGAATCGAGTTCTGATAAATATTTTTGTAAAAAATTATTATCTAGATTAGGAAGTAAATTTTTTTAGTTTATCTGTATGTATTGCGTTTGTGGCTTCCCTTTTTAATAGGGTAAGCAGTCACAACGTTCTGCTCGACTGTTTGATAATGTTGAAGGGCTAAACTATTAAACTGTCCCTGCATGGTCAAATATTTTTAAAAGTACCTATATTATCATTGTCAAGTGTTCACAAAAAATCCTACCATACATTTGTAGTGATGTGAAATAGGTATTGTCTGTATATGTTAACAAACACTGCTTCAAGCGTAGCAAGTAACCCAAGCTGACATACTTTAGCCTTTAATCTTCCACAATTATGTATTTTTTTAAGAAATGGTAATTGATAGAATGGTGGAAAATTAAAGACTAGCTAAACAAACTCAAAAAGGCTGATGAAGCTATATTGATTTACACAAAATTAACACCCGTCTAAATACAGTTAAACAAAAGAAACCATGCTCTTTGATTAATAAAACATTATGAAGTTTATCAGAGAGTACCTAACCACCAAAAATATGAAATAATCATTAACATTAAAACTTGCTTTTATTAAAGCTAAATACTTGATTTCAAAAATCCCCATTTACTTTTTTTCTTACCAGAGTTGAATCCAACTGAAACATATGGGGAAATTAGGTGAACACTATAGAACACCATCAGTGAAATCATCACTCTGAAATATGACAATGAAACTTATACTATTTTAGTTTGAACTATTAAAAGAAAATAGATTTGATTATAAAAGCAAAACACGAGCAAATGTGAATTAAAAAATGGTGTCATCTAAAAGTAATTTACAATTTATTAGTTTCGCTATGATTAATATATACATATGTATATGTAAAAATCAATCATTAACCACTCTGTCAAACATATTTTATTGTTTATGACTTACATAAAGTATATTATTTCTGCTTTTCACGTGCGCAGGACTAAAGAGCGATACAGAGATGACATAGTATTACTAATTACCCTCTACTGCACTACTGGATCGCCTGATACCCAATCGTACAGCTAGAAAAATAACCTGGTATATTTTCACATATCTTCTTAACCATTAATAAAACGTACAAACTTAAGGAAAATAGTTACTTATGCTAAAGAGGAACAGGTTAATCTGTTAAAATAGGTGAAGTGCCTTTTTTTTAATGCAATTAATTGTAGTTTCGTAGGGTTTCGCGATTGTTGTTTACGATAAAACTCAGGGTTCTAGGTTTCTACCGAGTGAAAATGTGTATTGCCGATATTTCACCGTAGATTGCCTGCATTATCTTCACGGCTCGTGATAGGGAACTAAATGTCGGGAATAAGCACTTCGGCGCGTTACAAATGCTAAGTTTTAGTGTGTCTAAAAAATATTTATTTATTTTCAAATTTAGCTTAAAGTTCACATGATTGTAAAACAGTAACAGAATATAGAAAAAAAATTGAAATGTTTTCACAAAGTTCTTCATTGTCTCGACAGTACTGTTTCAGTCAAAATAAGCATTTTTAGGAGTATAAGTTTAAATTATTGTAACTCTAATTTGTACCTTATCGTAAAATCTTAAATAGAGAACTAGAGAATGCTCCAAAGGATTAAAGATCGTGCAATTAGGTATAAGTTGGTGTTAAAATGTTTAAACTGTAATAACCCTTATTGTACTCTTGAAAACAGCTATATCGGCTGGAACAGTAAAAAACTTCGTGAAATCATTCCAGCTTTTTTGTTATATTCTATTATTATATATGCTTTATAACTATTGCACCGTATTAAGTTTAAATTAAATTTTAGTATATCAATATAAATTAATAATTTTATATCGACTAAGTACATGTGTTCATGTAATGCAAACATTAAAACTGATGNAATTGGCGAAAATTATGGTTATTATTTTCACTTTCTAATTTGTTACTTCCATCAATTATTATTGTAAATCTTCACTAATTGCTTTATCAGCAACTAACGACATTTACATAAGTAATTTTAATTAAATTAAGAATGTGCCTAACCTGTTTGCGGTTGATTCCTTCAGCGAATCATTCATAGAAATTCGAAATTTGTAAATATATTGAATACCAATGTTTCAAAAATTGTGAAATACAAGAAAATAGAAATTAATAAATGATGAATAAATTAAGAGGATTAACTACACACAAAAATTTTCACATTTAAAAAAAGAACCACACAAATGAATAATTAACTACATAAGCGAATGTAATTTGTATGTTGCTGATGTAATGGAATAAATAATTCACGACATATTCGAATTTGACTTTAATCTAAATATTTATATGAAAACTGTACAACCTATATGCACCGTTTGACAAGAAGACATCTTTAAGAGGAGCATTTTAACACTATTACAAATCGCTTTCTAAGTTCTATATAATGAAGTACAGATTATAAGTTACACGTAAAGGATTATTCAGTACAATTACAAATCTAATTTGTTTTTGAAAAACAAACACAACTATGTTCTGCAAATTAAAAAAAATACGACGTGTAATTATATAACACGCTACTGAAGTGAAACTTCTTCAAACACACAAACATACTGGGATAAGGGTTGAGGAATTGGCTTAATGGTATTATTTGTACGCTGTGAATTTAAATTTTACACTATACATGCCGGAGTTGCCTGAAACGAACGTTGCATTGAAGCACACTCACGGCTCAAGCGATCCCCACTACGAACTCAACTGCGTGGCAGAATAGAAGGGGGACATCCGTTGCATGATTTCGTTACATAGCAACTCGCATGAAACGAACTTACTCTACCGTGTGTAAAGAAGTTTCACTTCAAAAATCAGTATCACAGTTACGGTGTAACTTAAATCTGTAGTCATAATATGAGAGATAGAAATCAACAAATGCGTATATGCAATTACTAATAAGTACTTCAACGCTAATCAGGGTGATTGTGGTAAAGATAAAGTATTATGAGAATAGTCCCAAAGAGAGCCATGGATTAATATCCAGGACTGACAGTCTCGATTGATCACGGGCCAAAAAGTTCCATTAGGCCCAGTACACACTAGCTGCAAAAGCTATCAAGACGCTGCATCATTTTCAATCGCATAAGAAAAAATGCAAAAAAACGTCGCTCTTGATAGTGAATATTATCGAGGTGAACGCAGGTACTCGTAAAACGCCTGTTTTATCCTCACACCGCAATATGCTAGTACTCATTTGTCTATCGGGAAGTCACATTTGCCACAACGTCGTATCTCCTTTCCAACTTGTGGAAGTCTCTCAACAGGATGTCTGATAAAAATGAGAATCTGGAACTTCTCATCAAAACTCACCCCGTAATTTGGGATGTAGTCCTAGCGATTATTAAAAACCGAATTAAAAAACAGTATGAGAAAACATTTGTGAAACTATTATTGAAAACTTCGGTCAAAAAACGGAGAATAAAAAAATGCAAATAGTAAATACAAGCATTCTCAACTTTTATTAAAGTAGGTACATTGGACAGCACAACTTGTCTATTTGGCCTTTCACCATGAAAGTGAGCTTTGAAACTNTCCTTTAGATCTCAGATGTCTGGCATTCAATTTCTGATAGCCCCATTCTATCCATCCAGATGCTGTACTTACACAGTTTATCAGACATAGTGCAGACACCTTAGTGGGGTTATTAATAGCATATCGAGCTAAAATGTTTGCTCCAGCCCCTACCCCAAATCCTATTACTTGTTTCAATCCAAAATGGGACAAAACAAAATCCAACTGATTGGCCAGTTCGTCGATTGATGGATAAATGTAACTGTAGAAAGTACATTAAGAGTGTAAGTTTTTACACATTCGAACAATTTATATTATTTAGAGCATCTTGTTTATTTGTAAGTTTTTACGAAATTACCTGAAATATATAACAATGCGATTTTTTGTTGTAGTTAAAAATTCTATTTTTGTTATTGATTACCTAGTCTTACTATTAACTATCTAACTGTTGGAGATATGGAATATAAATCACAATTAAAAAACAATGCTTTAGTAGGCCAGTCTTGTGAAACTGCAATTAATGTCTTGTATTTTATGTGATAAGAAGTACAAGATAAATTGGTAAAGGCTTTTGCGGCCAGTAGGGGAACTAATCACGCTATGAGGTCTGCAGGTAATGGCAAAATTAAATGAAGAACAGCATCGATTTAACGGGATAAAAGAGTGCAACAGGTTACCAGGTTAGATCAAGGATAGTAGAAGTTCTTTCTATTATAGAAATCAAGTAGCAAATCATTTATTGTAATAAAAGAGCACATTTTAGTACTTTTCTGTAACCGATTCAATTCTGGGACTTTTTTTCAATCCACTAGCTAATATTGTCAATCACAAAAATACACAGATATAAAAGATGTGAAGTAAATTCAAGCAAAAACAAACATAATTCGAAGAGTATTTGAATGTAGGCAGTTAAAATAATAAAAGACACGACAAAATGTAGTGTTATATAATGAAACGATACATACCATTTGCACAAATCCAATGCAAACAATGTAAAAGTAAAAAACAAATTCAGTAACTTATTTTTGTGTTTATCAGCATAACAGTAGTACTACTCCACATACCGCAAAGTTAATAATAATTGAAAAGATAAAACGTAAAATACCTACATAAACAAATATATTATGTAACGATCGAAACTTCAACTATTATAGGAAATGCTCTTCTATATAATATGCGTTGTCTATATGCACACAAAAAATATGCAAAGCGTGTGGCATGTGCTTGTTCTGTGTTCATAAATATATATATAGATAATTTTAAACTACTTTAATTGATTTTGTGTGATAAATATGGTATAAAAAATATGAAAAACATATAGAATGAAATGTCATTACATACCGTAACCCTCTCCTTGTAAGAAAAGTCGGAACGCTTCGCTGACTTTGGCAGGTTGCTCTTCTAATACCATACCGCAATCTGAAATCTAAAGAAAACATTAATCTAGTTAGTCGAAATCGAATGAACTTTGCTGTGACGGTTGGTGTCTTCAAAAATAATTTAAGAGTTTCAAAAAACGGAGACAAAATTAAATATAATTAGATACAATACACCTTTGAATATCCCTCAAAATATGCCAAGAAACGTGTCGTACAATATCAATATTTCGAGTTAAGTCTATTTGTACTAATAGGGGGATTAATTTTGCAGAAGACTATGTTAGTAAACTCCGAAAGCGACATGACAATATCCACGAAGTATGTTCCGCCATGCAAAGCAAGCAACCGTATTAAGAACACGTATGACATAAGGATTCCAAGGAGACTATAATAGTGGCTACACAATCTACGACACTAGAGGACTCTAAAGGACTGTTATCAAATCTAAGGTCCACATAAAACTGTCAATTGAATAAATGATGTCATTTAAACGAACACCGAATGGAAAAACGAAAGTTGTCCATTTTAACTGATTCGATACCATATGTTACGTTGGCGACAATCACGAAGATGCTCGCATCAGAATTATACAAGCTCGATCTCGGGATCCCCAATATAAAGAATTCACAGAGCCAGTTTTAGAGTCACATCTAAAAGACCTCAAGACTCGTTTGTTAACCAGAAGGAATACACGTAGGTTCATTGAATGGTCGCAGACTTGAACATAGACCGCAGAACAGCTATGGTATACAAAAAGAAGTTTGGCCGGCTACCGGAGCTGAAGATGTTACGAGTTATGTTTCGGTACCTGACATGTACCGGGAATCCACGACAAGAAGCTGCCCAATTGAATATAGTGCATTGCAACATCCATTTGACTTACAAAAAGGATCACAGCTGCAAGTGCTTTTAAAGGAAGCATAGAACATGATCCGGGACGCAATATCCTTAAGAAGAGGAGTGTTACGTATAAACATGTATGAGTGTCAGAATCCTTATAATAATTGCAAGTGTTCCTTAAACAGTAGCCTCCAGTATATAAAAATTATTTTGGAATAATTCTTTGGAGCCCTCATACTTAATATCTACCTTAATTTATTTATTACACTTTGCGTAAGATACATTCCAAGGTGAGAATTGACCTCTGAGAGGGTGCCACTTGCAATAAACATTAAAGAGGTGACAAGAATATGAAGCTTTAGAACATTTCTTTGAAATAATAAAAGATTATTTTTGGCTTGTAATACTAAATGAAATGCCTTATTCAGTAGTCAGTTCTGTTTTCGGTAATAACCCTATCTCGAAGGCGTGTTCCAAAACAAGCAAATAAGTTTTTTCCTAACTACATACAGATAGATACCTCACACTACTGTCGACACTAATTGAACCATTACTCTTATTTATTATAAACGCTAATTACCTTCATCCAAGATGATGTTGCAGGATCTAGACGACCATTTAATGTTACCGTGTCATCGGCATGAGGACTGAGAGCTCCTGTTATATTCAAAACTGGCATTTGCAAAGTATTAGCATCTCTTTTTTTTGTAGGATCCATCTCTCTCTGAATATTTAAATCAGTTCGTCGGATGTAGCTGTCAATGAGCAAAGCCAAATTTGTTGGATTTACATGTTTCTCGAAATAGCTTTTGTACACCTGTACTAAGTCATGGTTTCTTTCTTCAGTATTCTGTACACAATAAATGGTAATTAATTTAAACTTTTAAAAGATGCTAGGCCATTGCTACTATCTTAATGGATATACAATATTGCTATTCTATTTGTTTAATATCAGTTACTCAATAGTTAAAATGCTACGTGTCAATATTTTCTTCCCATGAAAGAGAGCCATTACTAAGGTATACACAAAATAAATAAATAAAAAATTTACATTAATGAATGATACAAATATATAAAACTAAAACCTAACAAATAATAATAATAAAAAAAAATCAAAAGAAACAAGTGCGAACATAAAACTGCGAGAATTATTTTTCAAAAATTACACCATATATATTCTATTCTATAATAAGTAACAAATCAGATAAAAGAAGTTACCAAAATTTAAACCTGAACAGTATGCTTTTAAATAAAAGTTACATGATGGAAAAATTGTTATCATGACGAAAAGTTATTATTTATTATTAATTTAAAAGTATTATTTTATTCATAAACCATAATAGATATAATTTTTTAGGAAGAAAAAGGAAGTGTGTAGAAAAAAAAATAATTTCTCCCGTTGATTGCTGATGTTACAAGAAATAAAATTAATCTTACCCTTCCAAAATGATGCCACATCAGGTAGTCAAGAACACCTTGAGTCATTCCTTTAGATCTCAGATGTCTGGCATTCAATTTCTGATAGCCCCATTCTATCCATCCAGATGCTGTACTTACACAGTTTATCAGACATAGTGCAGACACCTTAGTGGGGTTATTAATAGCATATCGAGCTAAAATGTTTGCTCCAGCCCCTACCCCAAATCCTATTACTTGTTTCAATCCAAAATGGGACAAAACAAAATCCAACTGATTGGCCAGTTCGTCGATTGATGGATAAATGTAACTGTAGAAAGTACATTAAGAGTGTAAGTTTTTACACATTCGAACAATTTATATTATTTAGAGCATCTTGTTTATTTGTAAGTTTTTACGAAATTACCTGAAATATATAACAATGCGATTTTTTGTTGTAGTTAAAAATTCTATTTTTGTTATTGATTACCTAGTCTTACTATTAACTATCTAACTGTTGGAGATATGGAATATAAATCACAATTAAAAAACAATGCTTTAGTAGGCCAGTCTTGTGAAACTGCAATTAATGTCTTGTATTTTATGTGATAAGAAGTACAAGATAAATTGGTAAAGGCTTTTGCGGCCAGTAGGGGAACTAATCACGCTATGAGGTCTGCAGGTAATGGCAAAATTAAATGAAGAACAGCATCGATTTAACGGGATAAAAGAGTGCAACAGGTTACCAGGTTAGATCAAGGATAGTAGAAGTTCTTTCTCGTCTAAGAACTGTGAAAGTACACCTGCTGATAACGTAACGTTGGTCTCAAGTAAACGAGATTTGTATAACTTACTATTATTTGTTCTTTTTTTCTTTCCTTGTATCAAATCGATGTAGTTAGTGCATACTAAATAATGCTCTTATGTTTACAACAGATTCACAAAAACCTAATAATCCTGAAGAAATGTTGAATTTAGAACTATATTGCTTAATTAAAACTTATAAATCTCGACATCTATATATATAAAAGAAAGTCGTTTTAGTTACACTATTTATAACTCAAGAACGGCTTAACCGATTTGGCTGAAAATTGGTGGGGAGGTAGCTTATAACCAGGGGACGGACATACTTTTTATCCCGTTCCCGTGGAAAAAGAAAAAGTGGTATAAGAAAACGCAACTGACAGCTAAACGTAATGTTGTCTATGGTTAAGTATGGTGTTTTACTTATAGTCAAATTTACCTGAAACTTGGCTTTAATACTTTTTCATATAAAATTAGTGACATACATACCTATTTCAACATTTTACAAAATTCTACGCCTTTAGGAAGCTGAAAGGGGTTTGCAAACATTGCATGTTTGTTTTTGATCCGATTTACTTGAAACTGGTTAAAAAAATTCTAATCTCTGTTGGGGGAGATGAGTGGTGAAGAGGAGTTGCAATGTTTGAATGGAACATATATTATTTTTGGTCAAATTTACTTGAAACTTGGTCTTAATGGTCTCTCATTTAATTTCTGAAAGACCTATCTGGATATTTTGAAAAATTCAACCTCCATAGGCGGGGTGGGGGTAAAAAGGTGTTGCAATTTTTGTGGGAAGGGGACATACCTTATTTGTGGTTGAATTTACTTGAAACTTGGTATATATGCTGATTGATATTATTAATCAAATGAAAAGACGTTGCAACGTTTCCGTGGGGTATATTTTATTTGTACTTGGATTTACTCGAAGGTTGCTCATTGTTGAAATTAAGCAAATACGTGTTTTGACAATTTTTAAAAATCAACCCTTAAGGATGAAATGTTGTTGCTCGGTTTGTATTTGAAATCTAAGATGCCGACGTTACATAAAATTAAAACGTTGTAAGGGTGAATTGGGAGTTAAAAGGTTTTATGGAGAAACAATATTAATTTCTGCGAGCGAAGCCGCGGGGAAAAGCTAGTTTACAATATATTACAATCCAGAATTAAACCCGATTGAGTTGCTATGTTGCGTTAAAGCAGTTTGTTGGTGATAGGAATGATGGCTTTAATTTTAAATGTGTTAAGAACTTGTGCGGAGTTTTTTTATTCTTTTTTTTAAGGAACACTGGAAAAAGGGTGTTATGGACGATGAAAATAATAATGGTAGTAATGAAAGTGAATATGATTCAGACAATTAGAAGTTTTATTTGTTTTTTTGTTAAATATAGCTTTTATGCTTAAAAGTACTTAAAAATTTCAATGTGTTAATTTCTATGCACCTACATGCTAATTATTTGTTGTTTCAATTTTTCTGTGTGTTTCTACTCTAGGTACATGAAGTATAATTTTGCAATAACATCAATTTGTTTATAAGTCAGTTATTTTACTCGCTATTATACGATTTTATCTTATTGCAATGTTAGTATTAATTATTAAATAAATCCTTTATGTAAATTAATGTTCGGAAAGAAAAANTGGATATAAAATTTGTAATATTAATAGGCAAAAATGGGCTACTTCGCGCAAGAAACGATTAATATACATCTATAAAATCTTCCTTAACCTTTTGAAGATTTCCCTAATTTGAAGGAACCGCGTCTAGAACCGGACAACGATGAGAATAGCGCCACAGCCATCATTATCTACCAAGCCGTAAAGTAGGAAATCTGGCAACAGCAAGCGGGCCTATCAACAGTTACGAGAACGATGCATATACGCCGGGACTTCCACGAGTTTATTCAGGTTTACGTATGCGTATGCGTGTAAAAATCTGATGTTTCTTCTATTAAAAAGTGTTTATATATTGGCTTGTGCTAATTTAAACTTTAAGTGAATAAGACACTTGTTTAGTATTAGTGTAGCTCTTTGAGTATCAGTAAGTCAACATAAAAATTGCACCTCCTTTCAGGTATAAAAATGCCGCGTATTTGTTGTTTTCCTGGATGCAAATCAATTATAATTGTACATTGAAAGCACACTAAACGAAAAAGGTACGTGATAATAAGAAAATGCAAAGAAAACAAAAAAAATTAAAATTCTGATCAATCATGAGATTTAGATCTTATCGTGATTCCCCAAAAAGTATTATGAACATTTATAATTATTGGTTTTTGTATAATTTATCATAAATGCGCCCACAAACAAAATCCAGTTGCGATAACAGGTGATCGTGGATGATGGTGATCTTTGATCATACATACGTTCTTCCTACTCCTCACGTCCTACGATCTCAATCTATAAGACAACACTGTCAAACATACGTTTTATGACAATTTATAAAAATACAAAATACAACACGGATGCTGCCAAGTAGTAGCTAATTGAATGTGGCGTTGCGTGATCCTACCAGGGTCGCACCTGTACTTTCAAATACGTTTTCCGAAAACCGTTGGACTTTCGGACTACCAAAGATCTACTTAATTTTCTTGTCTTATGGTGCCCTATCACCTCCTGCAAACTTGCTACTTATTTCAGAAACACCTTGAATAGTAAGCAAACTGTTACCATAATAACAAGTTTCATTAACAGAAAGTTACATCTATTTCGGAGTACTCAACAGTCACAACAAACTTCAGGGAAATTCAAGTAGAAAAGGTGTTACAGTTTAAAGAAAGGTACGCATATTTTTCGAGAGTAATATGTATACTTTTTATTAAGTATTTCATTGTGCATGAAGTGATTAACAATTTATTTTATTATACCTTTAAGTTACATCGGTTCAAGACCAAAGAAACATTTGATAATAAACATTTCGGTAAAAATGAAAAGGCTTCCAATTTGTTTTTGAGTCGTCAAAATAAAAATCAAACAATTTTGAACGCTATTGGGATCCGTCAAATGGGCATACACCACCTGGTGGCAAAATTTATAACTAGAATGAGGGAAAAATTTACATAGGAACTGTGCACCCAAATTGTAAAATTGTTTATTAAAATAATAAAACACGTTAAAAAAGTAAAAATTTTTTCGATGATGGAGTCGACGAAGTTTTCTTCTAAAGTTAAATCAAATAAAAAGTTAATATGTTCAGTCAAAAGCTGCAATAGCACTTCAGACATAGATCTTCACTCTTCGCCTACATTAACTACTTACCAATAAAAACTAACCGTTTTATATATGTAAAAAATATACTCGGAAAATTAGAGAAAAAAGTAAACTAATAGAAGCTTGGATGAAAGCAGTAGGTATCAAAGAAGTGAATTCCGGAATAAAAATTTGTTCACGTCATTTTAATGCACATGATTATATTTCAGCAAGTATTTACCATCAGCCATAACCTTAATATTTAAAACTAGAATCATACTAAAATTATAAAGTGAGAAATTATTTATTCCTGTGTAATTGATTTAACACAATTCTAATGATACGATATAAGTATTTTGAGGTTAAGAACCTACCTGCTGCAATACAACAAAGTTGCAATAATGTGTTTGCAACGTTCTCTTAAATCGGCTTTGCACGTGCAAGTCATTGATATGATATTGCTTAAATCACCCAGAATCACCTCACCAATTATATAACGTGAATCACTTTTTAAATCCGAAGTTTGTAAAAAGTAGGCAGTAAACTTGACGGAATTTGAAGGCTAGCTTCCGGATTTGTTATTTCCGAATTTTATAATGTGATTGGCATTAAAAACACGCTCACCTTCAACGAAATTTCCTTTCCGAGGCTTTGTGTCAGCCCAATCACATATTGTGTCAATACTTATCATTTTATCGTAATTTAAAAACTTGGAAATTGCACGGTACATTATAGGAACTACGATAAATTTTCCCTAATCGGCGCCACGTTTTTAGGCTCCTCCCATTTGACTGATCCCAGTAGCGTAAAGAATCCAATACCATAGTCTTCTTAATATCTCAATAAATGTTTTGTTGCAAAATTATTCATTTTTCTTATTTAAATTCAACTGGTGGCCTGTGCAAGGTCGAATTAAAGTATTAAAAGCACTGCTGACTTAGGATTATTTAAAGGTTGCGGTCCATGTAAAGCAAGCGTGCATATTGCATAATGAATTTTTTTTTTGCAAATATGAGATCTTTTAATACGTAGCACATTGAAATTGCCTTTTTTGTGTGCCCCGTTGTTTGTATGCTGTTATTGTATATAGTAAACTTTAGTTATGTATCCGCCTCAAAAGCGTTTATTATTTTTGGTAGGCCTGGACAGTACAATACTTCAGATCAAAAACATGCATAAAAAATGTATAAAATATCGATGCAGTGCAATGAAAAATTAATTTCACGTCAGTCACTTCTTAGGTGTGTGATTTATTTTAACCAAATTTCATTACACAAACGTACTACATTTATAATTAAATAGATAATTCACGCCACTCAATTACTACCCACAATATCTAGCAATTGAGGATAATCAGGTTAAAGAGTAGTGTTATTTTCAAATTTCGTAGATTTTAATACAGCAGAAGTATTTTACGAATTTCTAAAGTGGCGAAACATTATTTTTTTTTATGGATAAACAAGTTCTGTTCTCCCTAAAAAATATCAACGAAAGATGATTCTGTAAAAAATGACAATTAAGAATAATATGGAAATTTTGTTGTAATAATCTTTATAAATATAAAAATGAATCGCAAAACTCGAGAACGGCTGGACCAATTTTGATAGTTTTTTAAAAATATTCTTATGAAGAGAAAATTTGGAAAAATTGCCCAGAAAAAACCTCACTTTTCTTTTCCCATAAAAACTCCAGAGTAATTTAAAATATCTATATCCAGCTGTCAAACATTTCACGTGAATCAAAACAAAAGAAAGGCGCGTTAGGATTATCTTTGGTATGTATTCAAGTTGATAAAGCTGTATGGATATTAACTGATCATTCTGAAATACGTTTTATTTACTTATTTTTTCTATTGGACTGCGACAGGGGTAGCTAGTCGAAATATAATTTTGGTAAACATCAAAATATTCCCAATAAACTCTCACTATAGACTATAGAAATGGTCCAATTTTATCCTCTACCATTAGATCGTTTATAAATCCTAATCCTTACTAATATAATAATTGCGAAGACGATTTTGTTTGTTTGCTACCATTTCACGCCTAAACTGCTTAACCGACCTCCATGAAATTTTTTACACACATTATCAACGATACAGAAAAGGACATAGGGTACCTTTTATCCAGAAAAAAATAGTTCTCGAGGAATGTAAAAATTAGTTTTATGTGTTCGTCGATGATCTTGACACATATTTAGGAGATCAATACTACCGTTGCGGCGAATATAAAACCTAATTTCGATTAAATAGAACTGTTTATGTCAACGGAATAATTAAAGAGTCGTTTCTTATTAATTGCTCTTGAGGGAATAATAACCGAAGACCTCGACGCTAATTTCAATGGTTAAAAGTAACTGCTTCAAAGCAGTTTTAGCAGGCGCTAAATAATAACTACTGTTTGTGTGATCTACTTACATGTACGCTCGATATAAATGTATAAATACTTCGCAAAATTCACCTTGTTATGATTACGTAATGTACCTACTAATGGAAAAAAACTTACTCTTCTGGCAGCGTCTGGGCCCCCTCCTCTTGTCCAGGAGCGTTAACGTGGTAAACGCAAAAGTTTTCAAGCAATGCTCTCATATCAACATAATTAAAGAAGGCTTGAAAACTGGAAATATCTGGAAATGATACAAAATGTTCTTTTACACAAGATATTAAATGAAAATATAGGACTATAAACAACTATTATTATTATTCAGATTAATAAATTTTTGTAAATGAGTTTGTCAAGTAATCCTAATTTATTTACAGTTGACAAAATTAATTTTAAAATCAAAATTTGTACGTGTTAGAAAGTTGCTTACATTAATATCAATACTTTCAGGAACGTTTTTACATTTAGTAGCAATTAATATTTTAATAATTAACAATCAAATCATTACGTTTTTCCTTATTAGCTTAAAATAACCTGTAGTGGATTAAAAAAGGAAAACTGCCTGTTTAAGAAGACAAACGTTTAACACGAGGTGCGATCCAAAAGTTCTCGGTCTGATACCATAACAGAAGACAGGGACATGTCGTGTGTGCCATAAGGTCAGACCGTGAATTCGAGCTTTAACTGCGATGCTTTGAGGCGGTTTAGCAAGAGCATTAGGTCCAAAAGACCCGAACATTGGCGTGAAAAGAGTTGGATGCTGCACTACGACAATGTCCCATGTCACACGTCATTTGCGAAGCGAGAATTTTTAGCGAAAAATTCAATGGTGATCGTTCCCCTTCCCCTACCCCTTTTCGCTCGATTTAACTCCGTGTGACATAAGTTCTTCCCAAAACTAAAAATCGAACTGAAAGAACGTCGTTTTGATACCGTAGAAAAAAATCAAAGATAATTGAAGGCGGTACTCGACCGGTTCTCAAAAGAAGACTTCCAGAAAATCTTCCAAGAGTGGAAAAAATGTTGGGACCAGTGCATAAACGCTGAGGGGGGTCTATTTCGAGGGTCACGGCGGCGGTGAAGTTCAAAAATAATTTTCGAAGGATTTGATTGATCCTTTTTATAATTAATTTAAACCATGTTGTTTCTAAGTTACAATTCAATGAAAATAATCTGTTAAAGGCTGTTCTAAATATTCGTCCCATTTGAATAAAGTTAGCGTAAAATAAGCAGTTCCTTTTGAAAGATTTCAAAGTCACTAGTTTAGCAAACATTTCTTTACTTCAGTTTTTACTTTAATAAAAAAATAGCACAAACATTTTTGTTACCACATTGTGCAAATTTAAAAATTTATCCAAAAAGTCGATCGCAGCTTTATATTCATCCGATTTTAAATTGTTTAAAGCTAATATGTAGGGTTCATTGCTAATCATTAACAGCTTCACCAAAAATCAAATTTTGCAAATGTGTCCTACAATTTTATTTAACTTTTTTTAGGCTTTTTCCTTTTGGTACCTATTTTACATCTTAAGAAAGATGTTCAAAGTATGTAAGTACTTAGTTTATTTCTCTATAGGTATTTTATTTCAGCGCTGATTTTGATTTAAATCCTGTCAGTCTCTTTCATTCCTTAAAACTAAATTGAAATCTATAAAGTTAAACTTACAATTTAAACCTAAATCGTGGTATGTTATTATGGCCGGCTTTCCTCGAACGCCTTGAATAGCCACGGTCAAAGCGACGCCACGATCAATTTCTATTACTTCCTCTTGAATAGAAGAATTTTCTCTTGAGAGGGAACGACTCGATGGAAAATGTAGTTGAATATTTTTCAATTCAATATCGTCCATGCTGTCCGACGGCATTGTGCTAAATAATGTTACTATTAAATTCCTACTTTCGGCATAGATCCAATAATTAAACTCTTCTTCGAAATTATAGTATATTGACGGTTTTCATTTCATAGGTTGAGACAATTTATTCATTTTTTATCGAGTACAGAAATACATTTGTCAACGTTTTTGAAGAAGCTAGTTTTTGATAATACAATCTTAATTTAATGAAGAATGTTATGTACTTAGTTTATTCTTTTTGTGCAGTTTTGTATGTAAATAAAAACACTATTGCAAATAATTTCCATGCGTCAAAATTGTCATGATGTCATGTTTTAAAACCAATTGGAAAATTATCTACTTTTACTAGACCACCACCTGATTTTTTGCAATGGTTTAAATAATCCTCTATTGTAATTTAAATTTTAGTTATGAATTAAAAGAATGAAGCATTCTGCAAAAAATATATGGTGACTTTTTTTAATAACTAACAATAAGATAAGTCTAACACACGTTTCGAAATTCAAAATTGCAAGCTAATACCACCATTAATATATCATCAGCATTTGCTTGATACGAGAGTTACCTTCTTACAATAACAATATATTATACAATATACAAGTAATATACCAATAAATACAAAATTACTTACCCCAACAGGGCAGTTTCTTCTGCCACACCAGACATTGGCATTTTATCTTTTGAATTGATGCTATCCTTCCTAAAATACATTCATTTACCTCAGAAATATAACGCAACAGTTTCAAAAAAAATAAGTGCCTACACTTATAATTTATTCGAAACAAAAATTTTCGTTATCTTTGACATTGTTATACACAAAAAGAGTGATATTAACAGCTTTAGTGTTCTCCAAAAATGATCATCTTTTTCTGTAATTTCGTACTTTTCCAAATAACAATGAAGTCAGAAATCTAAGCGATTTTAAAATGTTTTAATAAACCTCTATGAACATTGAACAATTTATTATATAATCATATCAACAATTAACTCAAAGCTTAATTGGAAAACCCAAATCAACGGACATATTTATAAATAAATAACAAACGTACATTACTCTTGAGGATGACAATACTGAAAAACAATAAAAAAGCACTCATCAATCAAAACAATAAAAATTGTAACAACGAACCGAAAGCAATACAAACGCACATAAATAATTGTTGTATTTTCCTGCAACTAACTAAATATAAAAAGTTAAAATTCTCACGTTGCAGACAACATGCAGGCAAAATGAACATGTAGTCATGCGTTATAAAAACTTACCATACAAATATAACATATCATGCCAAAAAAAGTCTACTTCAAAAATAATAAAAGTGCTTTAGCTACATCAATAAAAAAAAATTGGGGTTCTTGTTATTGAAAATGTTAATTTAAGAGGTACACCTACAATGTTGATTATCTTACATAAAACATGAAGTAAACAATCCAAAAAATAGGTGTGTAGGTTCTGCATTAAATGTCTATTTAGTTCAGTATTATAAAGGTTAGCGTACCACTTAAATCGTGTAGAAAAAATATCAATTTTCTTATATACACATTAATAATAATTTTCCTTGTTTTATTTCCCAGATAGGTACCTACCCATTTTTTTTAATAATTAGTTATCAAAACAAGAAATATTACATTTAAAAATTTTTACTACAATTTTTTTAAACTTTTCATTAAAGATTAGAATTCTAATCCAGAGTTGGATAAAGTTATTAAACAGTTAAACATTCATTAAGGAGTAGTGAATACTGAATACATTTTAAATAACATCAAGAAAAAACTGTTTTAACTACATAATTATTACCTTCCACTTATGACTGTAGATGTATTAGTTTCAATTAATTTTTCATCTTTTGGACCAGGAAAAGTAAAGCTGAAGGCTTTCTTGAAACCTTCTAAAATCCCAGAAGGATTTAAGGTTGTGCCAGTTTTTCCAATAAAAGTAGTTGCTCTATATACGTCCCCGGATGAACGACCATCTTGCAGGGATTGGTAAGAACCTCCTATACTCCCTGGCATTCCCGACAATTATGAAGGACACAGACTAGCTACTGGTGTCCTGGCACGGTGACAAAAAAAAGACCAATCGACATTTTAATTTTATGAAAGTAATGCTTGGGTATCCTAATTTACAGTAATCTTTTAAGAAAAATTAATAGATACGCACATGGGGGGTAATTAGCACTAATTATGAAACGTACAGGTATTATTGCGCGAACTTCTACTTTAACGAAAATAATTGATTACAATTGTTTCATCTTTTTAAATACATTTGAACTGATCTATTGTTGTCTTCCACCATTGCAATACCATAACTTAAATTCTTTCTAATTTACCACAACTTTAATTCATATTTCATTGGTTTAAAGTCGTTCAAATTTTATTGCGAAAACAGAGATTATAATATAATTAGTCGTATTGTACACCTATGGATATAAAATTTGTAATATTAATAGGCAAAAATGGGCTACTTCGCGCAAGAAACGATTAATATACATCTATAAAATCTTCCTTAACCTTTTGAAGATTTCCCTAATTTGAAGGAACCGCGTCTAGAACCGGACAACGATGAGAATAGCGCCACAGCCATCATTATCTACCAAGCCGTAAAGTAGGAAATCTGGCAACAGCAAGCGGGCCTATCAACAGTTACGAGAACGATGCATATACGCCGGGACTTCCACGAGTTTATTCAGGTTTACGTATGCGTATGCGTGTAAAAATCTGATGTTTCTTCTATTAAAAAGTGTTTATATATTGGCTTGTGCTAATTTAAACTTTAAGTGAATAAGACACTTGTTTAGTATTAGTGTAGCTCTTTGAGTATCAGTAAGTCAACATAAAAATTGCACCTCCTTTCAGGTATAAAAATGCCGCGTATTTGTTGTTTTCCTGGATGCAAATCAATTATAATTGTACATTGAAAGCACACTAAACGAAAAAGGTACGTGATAATAAGAAAATGCAAAGAAAACAAAAAAAATTAAAATTCTGATCAATCATGAGATTTAGATCTTATCGTGATTCCCCAAAAAGTATTATGAACATTTATAATTATTGGTTTTTGTATAATTTATCATAAATGCGCCCACAAACAAAATCCAGTTGCGATAACAGGTGATCGTGGATGATGGTGATCTTTGATCATACATATGTACAGGTAGGTATGTGTACAGATGGATGGGTAACAAGTTTACTAGAAATCGGTATAATGCAAAAGATAATCTACGAAAAGATTATTTCTCTTATTAAATGCTTATACATCGAATGCAACCCTACATATCACATATGTATGAGGAAAAAAATACCTTTTAACTAAACCGTAATCAACTATGATTCTTATTTACAAAAATACAACTTCATGTTAAAGTGCATAATTTTTTTCAACTTTTTCTATACAGTATGCAAAAATAATACCTAAACAACGTTATTTAGTTTGTTCTAATTTTACGAACAACCAAAATATGGACCTGCAGCCAAACTCGAAATTTTCAACTATAGCGTATAACTCCAAAACAAAACACGACAGCGTGTTTCGTTTCAAAAAAGGGGATCAGGAAGGTGCTATTTATTTTTTTGTATTTCTTAAATGTTACGGAGTTGTTCTATATCTAAACATCGAAATTTTCACGCCCTGTACAGCATTTCTACCATACTATCCAGCATCACATACAACTCAACAAAGTTCAACATTTCACATAAAACTACTGGATTGTTTTCTTTTATTTGAGTTTTAATCGATTACTAGCTACCTAAGAGGCACCAATCGATCAAAAATAATTAAGTGCATCTAAAAGTAGTTTATTGTGCTGAAAAATACTTATAAATAGTGAATTTCCTGTACAAGTACCCATGTATCTAGTTACGTAAAGTAATAAAACCTTTTGAAATAAATACCGTCCAGCATTAGGTTTAAAAAATAGGTCACCCTATACCTATTATAGGTACACATATGATACCTTCCCACCGTTTTTAACTTCCTAGATTTTTCTATATTCGTTATTAAATTAAATCGATAAAATGAGTAGGTGTAAGTTTATTAGAACAGTCAGTTCAGATAAAAAACATGTATGTAGTATGTAGGTAGGTACAGATGTAGATAAGTGTAAAAATATAAAAACTTTTCTGAAATACCTACCTAGCTGTTTGTATTAGCTTGATATACCTAAGTACAATGATACCACCCTCATAAATAATAAATCATTCCTATATCCTTTTACAAAGGAAAGAATACTTTCTTTTATAACGAACTGTTTTAATAGCATGCAGGTGAGGGTGAATTTGTAACTATAGGTAGCATATAAAATAATAGCTAGTAGACATTTGAACTGTCATGCACATACTACAAAAACTAAATTCATGAAATTATAAATGGGGCAGCAATTAATATTTTATAGTTGCTTTTGAATATATAAATACATTATTACAATAAAAATACACACATACAATGCGCATATACTTAGTTGTTCTATTGATTGGTTTACGAAGCGCAAGAAGCGTATCATACCCAGACAGCACGATTATTTCTAAACATTTGCAGATTATCAAACACTACCATTTTAAAAAATTTACCTTCAGTTGTCAAAAGCCAATCTTTTTGCTTATGGTCACCTACCACACAAATAAAACCTGAATTACTTCTAGCGAAATACTACTACCAACAAATATCTTTACCGACTGGCTGCGATATCTATGGTGCTGCGCGTGCTACGCGTTTGTCTTTTTCAACTCGGTTGGTATTGGTCGAGCACATTCACGTGATATTATTGGCCAGTATCATATAAATCTGAACAGTGCGGTATCATTAGGGCTTTTTACTTTAATTAGTGTATTTATGTTTGTTTCACAAAACTATTTTTACATTCTTACAGCTCGTTCTGCTCGAAGCTATTGTCAAAGAGTAACATAATACTGNAAAGGGGTTTGCAAACATTGCATGTTTGTTTTTGATCCGATTTACTTGAAACTGGTTAAAAAAATTCTAATCTCTGTTGGGGGAGATGAGTGGTGAAGAGGAGTTGCAATGTTTGAATGGAACATATATTATTTTTGGTCAAATTTACTTGAAACTTGGTCTTAATGGTCTCTCATTTAATTTCTGAAAGACCTATCTGGATATTTTGAAAAATTCAACTTTCAAGGGGGGGGGGGGGTAAAAAGGTGTTGCAATTGTTTGGGACATACTCTGTATTTGAGGTTGAATTTACTTGAAACTTGGTATATATGCTTTTTAATATTATTAATCAAATGAAAAGAGTTTGCAACGTTTCCATGGGTATATTTTATTTGTACTCAGGTTTACTCGAAGGTTGCTCATTGTTGAAATTAAGCAAATACGTGTTTTGGCAATTTTAAAAATCAACCCTTAAAGACGAAATGTTGTAGCTACGTATGTATTTGAAATCTAAGATGGCGACATTACATAAAATTAAAACGTTGTAAGGGTGAATTGGGAGTTAAAAGGTTTTATGGAGAAACAATATTAATTTCTGCGAGCGAAGCCGCGGGGAAAAGCTAGTATCTGTATAAAATCCACTAATTTTTCATATTCGAGAAGTTGTAGATTTTAAGTCGCTTTTGAAAATTCGAGTACCTGTTCAACAAATATCAACGTTTTAAGATCATAGAAAGTTAAAATCAAAATCAGTTGATCTGTTCGAGAATATTGTTGACGATAAGTTTCAAAAAATGTTTCTTTTTTCTTTTGAAACGAAATTTGAATTCTTAGTAAAATGGAGATTTGGTATTCACGTCAGCTATCTGTTTGTTCTTTACAAACGTTAACAAAACCTGTGGATCGTCGTATGAAAAAGTAATTTTAAACAATTATCGGATTTTTAAGCTCCAAACTCTTAAGAGCTCAATTACTCGTAAATGCATGTTTTCTATCAATTTGAGCTCGAAAATAAGCAAGAATTTCAGGGTTAAACGTTGTAAATATTTATCTCTATCAATTTTCCAAAAAAAATAAAATAGGTTACTCTATATTTAAAACCTTATGTCAGTAAAAAGGATTTTTAATTTCACATCGAACGGTATAAAGTCAAAATTAAGTTTCGGAAATTCGTGTTAAAACGGACAACCCAGATCGCATTTTTCTTGCCTTTAATAGTTTGCTATTTGGTCTCATTCTCATAGTGTCATAGTCAAATTTTTATAAATAAATTTTTAACTGTCCTTAGTTAATCATTTAATAAAGAAGTATTGAATTTTATCTTGCAAACACATTAACCTTTGACGCCAACTAATCGCGTGGCTAGAATTTAATCCAAGCAACCTCTATTCGTTATAAACGAGTCGCCTTTATTATTCTGAAATGAATAGAGACAGCTTTGAATAAATTGTAGAAATAAATAAAAGTAAATCAAAAATACTGGTAAGCACGGGAAGAAAAAGTAGGGAAAGA